GAAATGAACAGCCATTTGTTACTCTGCCATCTTCGTCATGATTTCCTCACCTGAAAAAAAAAAAACTAATTTTCCTATGGTACGCGACCTATGACATGACCCTGAAATTAATCTTAGAATAGAGGGAAACACACCAGTAGCTGTAGGTAAGAATCTCTCGTGCGGTGAAACAGAAATCCGTCTATAGATTTTAATGTGATTATCGTCCCATTAATTCTGATAGTTTGTTCTTTATTCTGTTATGGTGATTTTTCAGACCAGGCGATTGAATAAATATGTACATGAATCCTTGACTGGGAGGCTGAACCATTCTAGAGCACCCAACCCAACCCAACCTAACTAAAACACCCGTTAATCTATGACAAAGGCTCTTCTTGCTCAATATCCCTCGTCTGGTCTTCCTAGCTATCTCTTACAACATATGGACGATTGGCAATAGTTTTTCCCCGGATTACCATAGAGCCTTTATCTTCATGCTCTCTTCCCCCTGACGGAGCTTGAAGTAAACCAACCAAGGTGACACGGAGGGGAGATTGTGGGGTGTTACAGACGTCCCGTGGTGAGAAGAAAGGAGGAGAGGAAAGAAGAGTAGGAAGAAAGGAAGGAGGTGGGGGAAGGGAGGAAGAGGAGCAGGGGAAGGTAGGAAGAGAAGGAGTAGGGGGTTAGGGAGAAGGGGAAAGATGAGGAGGCAGACGTCTATAAGAATGTCATGGTGCTTTCTCCTCCGTGTTTGGTCTGGTAACTGACCGATATAGAGAACCTTACCCCCTCCTCCCCCCTGGTCACTATAAAGGGGATAATTCATCCCTTATTTCCTCCCTTGGTCGTTATAAAGGGTCTTATAATCACCCCTGGTCGTTAATAGATGCGATAGACTAATATACAGATCAATGACTATAGATAAATATAGAAGGGGGATAAGATAACATAAAGAGAAAAGATAGACTAATGAACTCAGATAAAAGAGGCAGAGATTTATATTTAGAGAAAGATAGAGAAAAAGATAATTATATTCAGAGACAGATGGAGAAGATAAAGAGGGAGAAAGCTATCAGCCAAGTTCATCATCATCTACAATAAGACCACTGAAGCCTCTCATTAACAGTCTTGTATTACACCGACGTTAACCTTCACGTTCTGGTGGCAGTCAGTTAACAACACCAGTCATTATTACTCGACACATTCTCGCTGAATTACAAACACGTGAGAATAATCCGCACATCACGACAACTTTCCAGCCCCAAAAAGGGGGGAAAGAAAAATAAACAAGAAAAATGTTGATTGTAATAACAGCAATGTGGTCAGTAAAAAAAAATAAAATAAAAAATACCGAAAACAAACGTGAAGGTATAATATATATATATATATATATATATATATATATATATATATATATATATATATATATATATATATATATATATATATATATAAAAAGAATCCTAACTAAAACAATTTGGTTTATATATGATTTATGTCAATTAACAAAAAAAATTTCAGTTCTCTTCGTGGTGTATATCCAACATTGACCGTCGTGCATAACCACATCCTCAAAAGTAATGTTGCGTTTATCTGCCTATGATAAAATATATTTCGAGGAAAGTTGATTTGATTAATCCATACAAACTTACTTAAAAACGTTATCTAAATCAAACTTAAAGCGTTAACTGCAATTGCTGGTAATCTGATTATTTTCACAAGGGGAGCCGTACGGTACGATAAACAAATGACGTCATCAAAGGATCCTGCGTTTAATGTCAGCTGTGGTCGTCGACTTCACTTTCATTTGCAAGACATAAATACCACAGTTATTTTTTTTTCTGTTAAATCTGTGAATGAAAGTTTGTTTACGATGACGGTGTTGGAGAAAACTCGTCGTTGCATTTAAACTTGATTGAGAAATGGGTGGAGAAATTAACAATAGAAAACGCGGGTCTAGTCTAATTAAGTGATGTCAAAATTTAAGTAGAGTGTAGCTCATTAAAGCCTTACAAATTATTCCAGGCAGTATCGTATTATTATTAACACCACCACCATTACTAATACTTGTCCACAATCAGGGAGAGAGGAGGAAGTGTGTGATAATAAAACGAGAGAAATGGAATAGAGATAGCAGATACGAGGTTGAGAGGGAGATGGAAGGGGAGGGAGAAAGGGAGAGGGGAAGAAAGAGAGGGAAAAGAGTAAGAGAGGAGAAGAGTAAGGATGAAAGTAGGAGTAATTATGATAGGGTAGGGATAATAGGAGGGAGGGAGGGACAGTAAGGAAGAGAAGAGTCAGAAAAATAAGAAGGGAGAGAGAGGAGAGTAAGGGGGAGAGAAGAGGAGGGAGAGGGGGGGGGGGGAGGAAGTAAACAAAGTTACTCCCCCAATAGGATTTGCTCCCCGGTACGTGACGACGATGGTGAAAGTTATTGTGTAACAGACCACCTACTCCCTGACCCTCCACCCTAACCCTCCACTTTCACCCTACACCTTACATCCTAACCTTCCACCTTTACACCCTAATTCTCCATCTTCACCATCCATCCTAACACCCTCTCCACCCTCCATCCACCTCCTGAGTCATCCCATAAGTGAGTCACGAATCATTTACTCAACCTCTAAAACAGGTGTGATCAAGTGACTCACCTGAGCAAGCGGTGAATACGGCAGCAGGAAATCTTGTCAGTGTGTAAATACGAGTCAGTGCGGGTAAATGTACCTACACTCTTATGTTACAGGAAATTCACTGGACACGACCCGGAATGTGACCCAATTTGAGTATTTTACCTATTTTGACCTTACCTTAATTAACTTACCCTACCCCATAACCTGCAGTAATTATCCTAACCAACCTTACAATTTAATCTAACCAACCCTACCCCAGAACATAATTATCCTAACCTACCCCACCCCACCCAATAGCCTAATGAAGCAGTAAAACGTCATAAATTACCCCGAATTGGTTATATGTTGCGTGAGTGTGCAGGGATGGTCGGTGTGGAAAGTTCTCAGTAGATGAGCTAATTTAGTCAAGTGTTGTGAGGCAAAACTTCTCCCAGTAAGTTGAATTAGTCGGGGTTCACTTGAAGATTAGCACCCCAGATAATTTCACCTGAAGATTAATCATCCTAATGCTAACCAAACATATTATAATCTCACCTAGCATAACCTAACATAACATAGTCTAGCCTCAATACACTTCCCTTCCTTCCTAGTTCAATACCTCCCTCCCTCCCTCCCTCCCTCCCTAGCTCACCACCTCTCTCACTCTCTCCCTTCCTGGGTCAACACCTCCCACTCTTCAATCCATCCCTCCCTGGCCCAACACCATCCTCCCTCACTCCTTCCCTGCCGCCCTACCATGAACAACAATACCCTCCCTTCCTGCATCATCAATACCCTCCTTTCCTTCACCAACAACGTCCTCTCTCCCTGGCTCGTCACCGCCCTCCCTTTATCGAATTTTTCATAGTTACCGAACCTAAATTTCACACACACACACACAAGGTCCCCTCACCAAACCTTAATCAATTTCACACTTTTTTTTTTTTTGCCTCAGGGAACCCAACATTTTTATTTTTTATTCCTCACTCTACTTGTAAGAGGCCAGACGCCATTACCTACAATAACAGAGTTCCTAGCAGCGACAGTGAAGCCTTACTTGGCACTCGTGAACACCTACACCTGGACGGAACATCGGCTCGAAAACTGCGAGAATAACAATGCAAATGGCTGCCGCGATCTTCAAAAACTTCATCCCTCTTCACCTTGATAATATCCTCTCCTCTGTGTTTTGTGCGCTTAATAATCTCTTTCTCCTTCTCCCCGTCGCCCTCTATCTCCTGTTACCTGTAATCCTCCCCAACAAACCCCGAAGCTGCCCATCTCTACGTCTAATAAATCATCCCACCATCAATTCTCGTGTCCTTAATAATGATTAGCTTACCGTATTCTCCTCTTGGTGTGTTGCGTCACCCGAGTAATGCTTCACTCCCGCTATGGTTTATCTTCACGTACAAACACACACACAAATAAGTCTTCAGAGGTAGGGATGGAGGCGAGAGTGGAAAGCATCGAGACCGTCACCTGTACACGTCGGTGCTGAAAACAGACAAATCAGTCGAGTTCAAGTCGATCCAGACCGAAACAGCTTCGAACCAACCGAATCACAAAGTTTGAACCAACGACTCAAGGGAGGAGGGAAGGAGGCGTCATGGAGGACGCCAGACTCTTGTCGACACAAATATGTTATTTTAATAGGTTGGCTTATCATTATGTATTAAAATATTTACTGTGAGGATGTGTCATATATCGTCGAGGTTAGTAGCATACTAGTACGCTTCCGGCCTCAACACAGCACCAAAGACTATAATATTGTCGAGCAGTGTCAAAGACTATATTATAGTCTTTGACACTGCACCACGCTGGTGACGACATCTTCCGGAAGAAAAAGTTACTAATTAGATTTCACCACGATGATCCTTCCACAGTTTATATCATCAACTCCAGTGCTTTAACCAGAATTAATTAAAGCTGAACAAGACAATTACTTAAAAAACGGTAACTTATTAAACTAAGAACTATAACAGCCCTTGGTGTACCGGAACTACTCCGAGGTGGCCGGTAATTACCGAATCGTCCAAATGATTGTAAACTTCTTGCCTCTCACTACACTAATGCTATCAGTGTTCGATTCCCGCCCCAGAAGATCAAATTTACCATCACAACTTTCCATTTGGTTAACCACTTTGTTTCATTTCTTCGTATGTGTAAATAAAGGCGTAGTCCAAGGAGTGTTGAACTTTACCGCGACTCTGAAGAACTGATATGATGGTGTGCGAAAATTTTTAATTGTATCAAAGTCGACAAAAACACAATTACTGGTATGTAGTGGAGTAAGATAAATGTGTAAGTGCATCAACGCTCTGTGATATTTACATTAATCACATCATACAATAAGACTAGCAATGGAAAGTGAGGAATTAATTCAAGGGAAGGAAGAATAAAACAAGAGTATCCGCTATAGCAACAAATGTATCTATACCGCAACGAGATGTCTTGACATATTGGATATAATGACTAGGTAGTTGCTTGTACTCACACAGCAGGAAGCTAATACTACACACTCGCTAGAAGACGTACAGTATACTCAACACCTGTACACATAATGGTCTCTAGCACTGTAGATTATCAGGATACAGTACAGTAATTTGCCGTCGTCTCATCATATATTAACCTAAACATATCTAATTAATCCCGCCACTGTCAGCTTCTTAAATTACTGACATATTACAATTAAAAATAATATACTCTTTTTTAATCCAAATTATACTCTATGTAACAATGGGCACGCTATAAATACTTTGGGCAGCTTACAAACATTAGTACAACAGTTTGACTAGCTATCAACATACATGTGAACAGCGACACAATTTCCAATGGTGATCCACAAGTAACCTGGGAAGGAAGCAGCTTTCATATGTAGTGATTCACCTCAGTACATAGATGACAACTAGGCTACTCAGACCAACATTGAGAATCTTGTCACAAATACTGATATAGCATGCTGTTATATATTGTGAGATCCAGTGTAAGTCTATCATACAGTATGCCTCAGTGTCATACAACATCTTCCAGTATACATTCTTAAACAACAAGACTACATATGAGGAATATTTTTATACACATATTTTTTTCTTAGTGGAGGTTTAGATATAGGCCTAGACAGTGTAGGGGTCAGCTAAACAAATGCATTTCAAATTAGCTACATATTTTTATCAATCTAGCTAATGTACACTAACTTCAATGTGTGTGTGTGTGTGTGTTTGTAAATAGTTTTTTTTTCTTCTACCTTTACCATTTTAAGATTGAACCTTCCATTTGCACCACTACATCACATCCATACATATTATTATATACTACAGATACTGAGTCATTCACCAAAGCATCTCCATTATTGTTAGGGTCAGAGTCTTATCACAGGTCATCATTTGAGGTCATTTTTATTTTTGGTCACTTTCTTAAATACGTACAGGTTATATATTTTTATTATTGGTGTCAGGATCTAGTATATTAAATGTTATCTTTTCTACACGACAGAGGTAAATTTTCATGGTCACTACACTGTACAGAATATTCCTTTCTTTATTATGATCACTTTCCTAAATATAGAGGTCAGTTTTTCTAGTAAGTCACTGTGTGCTATTTAAAGGTAATTTTTTTCCTAGTTATTAGGTCAACATTTCACCTTGATTTCTTAGGCATAAAAAGTTCAGTTCTCTGATAAAAAGATCAACTTCTTGCATCCTCTCAAATTGGTTATCTTAATATCTAACAGGTCAGTACAGTACTCTTATCATGATATGCCAAGGATGGATTTTCCTAGCAAACGAGAGGGCAATTATCCATGTTGGGGCATCAGTTTTCCTAGCAAACGAGAGGACAATTAACCATGTTGGAGCATCAATTTTCCTAGCATTCAAGAGAGCTTTTTTCCATGTTAAGGGGCACTATAATTCTTAGTAAACAAGAGGATAAGAAGATATTATTTTTCCAAATATCCTAGAGGTCTTTAAGAGCAGGTTCTTTCAAGAGCTCTTAGTTACTTTCTCTAGGTCTTAGAAGATACTTTCTCTACGATTTACTTTCCCAGGGGTATACTTTCCCTACGAGTTATATACTTTCCTCGGGAGATACTTTCCCCACGAGTTACTCTCTCTCAGGGTTACTTCTGTACGTTATTTTCCAGGGGATTATCTTACGAGTTATGTTCATAATTAGTGAGTTTCTCTAAAACTACTTTCTCTGGAGTTACTTGGATTACTTTCTTTGTCATTTTCATTTAGAGTTACTGTCCATGTCACTTTTCCTGGCATTGCTACTTCCCCTACGAATAATTTTCCCTGGGAATTACTATATCAAAATTACTTTCCCTTGAGTGCCACTTTCCCTACTACTTAATTCCCCTAAAATATACCTCCAGTCTCACTTTCTCTAGTAACGCTTTTCCATAGGACTCCTTGACTTAAGAGTCACTTTCCCTGGCTACTGCCCCTGAGTTATTTTCCCTAACAGTTAGGGATTACATTCCAGATGAATTATCTTTCCTAGGAGTAACTTTCCTTAGGGCTAATTTTCCCTACGAATTGCTTTCCCTGGGAGTTACTTTCCATTGAAGCAACTTTCCTTGTGGATTACTTCTCAGATGCTCATTTTGTCAGGACTACTTTCCACAGACTCATTCTACCTAAACGGTACTTTCTATATGGGTTACTTTTCCTATGAGTTTCTTTCCCTATGAGTTACTTTTTCCATGGGCTACTTTCTTTATTGGTTACTTTCCCTATTGGTTACTTTCTCTATAGGTTACTTTCCCCAATGTTACTTTCCCTATGGTTACTTTCTCTATGGATTACTTTTACTATGGGTTACTTTTCCTATGGGTTACTTTCCCTATGGATTACTTTCTCTTTAGGTTACTTTCCCTAAGGGTTAATCTCCCAATGGGTTACTTTCTCTAAAGGTTACTCTCCTACAGGTTACTTTCCCTAAGTTACTTTTTATATACGATTATATCAGCATCCAAGTAACCATGATTATCAATAATAATATTTCATAAACTATCAACGTATAAAAGGAATCAGTATATCACAAACACTTTAATTATGTTTGTTAAATAAACAATGTAATTTCACGTTATATAAATTTACTCAAAATATTATATAGATTAATTATAATCATGACGAACCCTATTCAGCAACTCTTAATTTATAACACACAAAAATAAGTCAATAATAATCATCTCACGTTAATAAATATAATTGCACGTTTATTTCAGGATTTTTTATGGTGTGTAATCCATAGCTGCGTCAGGATTTCGATATAGTGGAATCCAGATTTACGTCAGGATTTTAGGTACTGTATGTTTAATCTACTACGATACCAAAATAAATAATTATAAGTATAATCAACAACTACCATAGGATTTAACATACGTGTAATTCCCTCCCTATGTCTGGAATTAGGATACAGGTTAGTGTAATCCACAACCTACGACAGGATTTAAGATATGTTTAATCCACATCTATATTAGGATTTCAGATAGGCTACGTGTAACCCATACCTACGACAGGATTTAGGATAAGTGAGACTGTAATCTAATACGGGAAGCCTAGCCATCATCTATCCTCTAACACAGAAGAGAAGACCAAAGATGCAACTTCAAGTAAATATTAAATCAGATTGTGATTCGAATAGGCTCTGCATATTCACACATTGCATCGCTTTGTATACTTACTAGAAAGAGTGAAAAGAAAACTCCAAAGTTCCCAAATTGTAGAAATTATTAAAACTTTCTTCAAAAATTCTATTTAAAATGAGTTACGAGAATCGAGCTCTGCATTTCATTCTGAATTTTATTTCGTTCGGTATTTCGATCAGATTTGAACGTGAATGTTGATGTTATAATGTGGTTTTATTGTACTTTAACAAACAAGTTCTTAAAGTATGTATTCGAGGTTAGAACATACTGAGTGTATATTGTCATCAACAGTAAAATATCAAGAGATAAACAACTTTATCGTGCTGAAAGATTCCACAGGCTAACGAGTCGTGAAAGAACACAAAAACACTCCCAGTTAGTTGACTTACTCTCTGTCGACGACTGTAATGTTTTTGTGAAACATTGACACACTACTCGAGAATAGCAAACAAATAACATAAAAATATACAAAGTACTTCTGGTTCAGGAAAACTAGAATTAAGATGTTACTTTTGTAAGTTTCCTTCATGAAACTTGTCATGAAACTTGTCAAAGTTTCTTAATCTACTGTGGGAGTTGTGTGGTAATTTTATTACCACACAATTCATATTGATAAGTATTATAATAATATAAGAGATCATTTGGTTGTTAACAAATTCGTATATTATTATATACTGTATATAAATATACTCTTGCGTTACACTTAATGAGAATGATTATTTAATATCCAATAAATTATATATCTTTAAAAATATAATCTGTAATTTGACAGCGTGTTTATATCATATAAAATAGAATTTTACGAATCAAGCAACAACATATAAAAACCGTCAATAATGGTTTATATTATGATCAGCATTATCTGAACATAAGATTCACCACCTGCCGTTGCTGCCATCACTGCTATGGATTAAGTATTACAGTACTATATGGTTGATCGAGACGTAATTTCACAGGTATTTTCAACGCTTGTGACGGCACAACACAAATTTATCTAAAGCAGTCTCAGTTTTCCATACAGTATCTACCGGTAATGTATCAAGGGGGCACGATGTTGAAATATATAGAACAGTTTATTGAGTTGAAGATTGTTTTGCATTTATGAGTTAATTTTTGGCTTGTAGAAATAATTTGTTCCGAGATGAGTGAAATTATTGCTGCTCTGAGTGAATTTTGGTTGTGTCGATTTAATTTGTATTTGTGAAAAGCTGTGTCAGGCTTATTTTCTGCTGAGTTGAGCTGTGTCAGGTGAATTTCTGTTGTGGTGAATAGTATCAAGTGATTTTTTTCCCTGACTGAACAATATCACGTGAATGTTTACTGTCATGAGCAATTATTCATTTCTTCTGTAATGGTCTGTATTGAGTAAATTTCTGTTGTATTGAGCTTAATAAAGTGAATGTTTGTTGTAAAGTGAGGAACATGTTTAGTCTGTGTATGAATATATTTTTTTTTCTATTAATGTACCTCTGTATAATTAAAGCTTTTCGATCTTTGTAATAAAATAGAACTTTAGTCTGTGTACCACTATAGAATTTTGAATTTTGTGTACCTATAATATTGCACGTTTTATAGAGAAGCTGATCTTCATATTTGGCTAACGATTATTTTACACGAATCAGTTTTGTAACTCAATATTATTATTAATTTTATTAGATATTAATTAAAACTACTCGTAGGTTTAAGTGAGTTACATTAATATCGAGTAATTTTGTTTTCCTTTAACTTGACAGCAAATTGACCTAGTTTACCACATGTCATTATGAAGTAGGTCAAAGGGGGGCATTAAGCTTATAGAAAAATAATCAGTAGGAATTATTAAACTCAAAATTACGATTCCTATTTAGTATAAAAATATATTATAATAATTAGTTTGGGGAAGTAATTGTAGCTTAATACTTCTTTCCTCATCATCACAGTTATTTTTCTATAATATCTTTAGTTGATAATATACTCATTTACATATGGTATTTTCATGTGGCTAAAATTCGAAAATTCACTGATAAAGAAAATCATTAATATATAAGCAATAAAAGAATGTGAATCTTCATGTACAGTCCAGAAGTACTGTTACATTGTTGCGGGAATCAAACCAAAGCCCCTGTGACTTCCTTTCAGTCAGTAACCCCGTGCCAGCCTCGCCCTAAAGAGCCACTGACTTCTGACATGTTATAAACAATGATGCACTGCTGGGAAGACCAATGAGTTATCACAATAAATCATTAAGCCAAAAGTGGTTCTTGTGTTAAAATCATCGCATCAGTTATGGAAAGTGGTGTTTTGGGTGTGTAAGGCGCTGTACAGTTTACCAAAGTGTTGTGAGAAATGTTAGAATCGTCGTAAAGATGGTGAGTCATGATGTAGTGGTGTTTGTCGTTATGTACTGTGGTTTGTTATACAGCTGGTGTTATTATTGCAAATCAGGTTATGGTAATGGCTTTGGTGTTTATCTTATTGTATTTCGTTGTTGATATGGAGCAGGTTTCCTTGTGTTAATATTTTTATGGAATTAACCGAAAGTCGTTTTACTTTTAGATTACATGACTTATCGAAAGGATGCTGTTGATTTATTTATGTGGTGCAATGTGTTCGAGTGATACTGTCTGCTAGTATAAATTGTGTCTATATTACTGTTTCCTGTTACCGTCATCAATCACTAGTCTATTAAACATCTAACCTCATCAATCACCTGCCTTCAACAACCACTCGTCTACACACCTCCTATATCTACCCTAATGAGTTCATGAACTTAGAATTTCATCTTGCGAACAGCATTGTTAAGTCGCTGGATCTCAGAAGTAAGGGAGGAAGTGAGGTCTTCCAACTTGTGCACAGAGTCCAAAGTCTGGACGGACTGACTGTGGGGTTCATAGCGTACCTCATAAGGTCGGCTCATGGTCTGGAAAGTCCAGCGTCTGCAACAGTGAGAGCAGGAGTTAGTAGCTCTGTAGTCCTTTGAGACCAAGTCAATACAGCAATAAGGAAAAAGATCAACCTATGATCCCTTCACGTATACATACTTCGGGTCCCAAGGGTCGCCAACGAAGAAAATTTCAGAAATATTGATAATTTCAGCTGTAAAATTGCTTCTGGTTATCTCCCCATTGTAAAGAAAAATAACAATAAATAAAAATAAAAACTAATGAAGCTACCATTCCCATGTGCATACTTTGGGCAATAAAATGATATTCATCTCTAAATTAGTTTTAAAATTTTACAGAGTAGTTTTTCAGGTGTGACTTTGTACTCTCTTCATCCTTCTACTGTTATTAACACAACAACTACTACTAATACTGTGCTACATTCAATATCTTTACTACTACTACTACAGCTGACCCATAATTTCTCTACATTTCAAAGAATAAACAATTTAAAGGCGTCGTACAGTAAAAACATGGAATATGGGATTACCTGAAGATTAAACTTCCAAGCTTATTTCACCTGATGATTAAACACCCTAACTTGACCTAGAAGATTAGGTTAGGTTAGGTTGGCATTAGGGTTTTTCAACATTCGGTGAAATTAGAAGAGGAAATAATCTGCAGGTGATTAGAATTATGAAACCAAAGTAAGGAAAGTGTAGACTGAACCTCTCTCACTCACCTGAACTTCTCCTGGGCGTCCTCCACAGTGTCAGCGATGAAGTACAGGTCCTGGTAGTCCTGGTCCTGATAGGGCTGGACGGAGGTGATGGCTGGGTCGAAGTCCTTCTTACTGGGCTTGTCAGAGAGGGCATGAGCTAGCTCTCCGAAACTGCTCAGGAGGCCAGCGCCCCAAGCCCGGACGTCTCCGCTCTCACGACACAGCCCAAATTCCACGGTGAACCAATACATCTGGGGAGAGGGCCGGCTTCAGAGGATGAGTTGATAATTAGTGTGTGTGTGTGTGTGTGTGTGTGTGTGTGTGTGTGTGTGTGTGTGTAGGGGGCACTAAACCAGGGCAGGACTCACCGTGGCAAACTTCTCTATCTCGTGGTCAGAGGCACCAAGGGACGCCAGGCCCAGCTCTTGAGAGAACTGGGCGAAGGCTGGCTCTGCTAACAGTGGCGCGTGACCCAGCAGCTCGTGAATGGCGTCCCTGTTGATAATTGAGAGTAGTTAATGGTATTACATTCTGATTACCAAATATTAACATCGTTTCCTTTTATCTGATTGGTGGTGACGGAGTGGTGTGATGTAAGGAGGCAGGGCAGGGAGGCCGATGTGTTGGTGGATGGGGGGGAGGAAGGTTGCACCAAATTATGTTACGAAGGCATCTACATCATATAATCGTCTTATGTAGACTATCTTCCTGTATTAAGTAGTCAGTATATTCTTACATGAAAACTTATGTAACCAGAGTTATTTTATGGGAGAAATGTTGTCTGGTTGGGTATGTTGTATACCAGCACAGTATAGTATGACATATTAATTGTTTAAATAATAGTGTACAGTAATCATAAGAGACGATGTAATTTGCCGTGGTGAAAGTTGTATTTTACAGAGACAGGTGGTGTAGGAGTGGTGGGTGAGGGGTGGGTCGAGGCTATAGGTAGAACCGAATTTTCACACTCACTTAGTACAGCTCCCTACTATTATACACGAGAGATATTTGTATACTCTCGTCCATTATATATATATTCTAAAGGTTGATACAAAAGGCCGTAATAGACCTCTTTACATTACGGTCACTTAGAGAGCAATTCAAAGGACTACCTTAAAGCCACAACCCCTACAGGCAGGTTGGTATAATATTTGATAGCGTTAAGCGAAAGAAAAGTTTACCATGATCAGTTGTGCTTCTGGCCATTCACCTCAATATACTACCACGCCAATACCCACCAGCCACTGTACCGGTATAATTGCAGGCGACTGTACATCATAACATTAATTTCTTGAGACAAAATCCCGTAAAAATATTATACCTGGAGTATGAACTGAAGGTAATAAAGTTAACTCCTGTACTGTTTGGTTCTGAACTGTCAAAGTAATGTACATAACAAAGGTCTATTACTTTATAAGCATCATATCAGTACTAACGGCTCTGGGGAATGGTGAGGGGAGGAGTGGTGGCGGATATACTGGGTGCACTGGAACACCCTGAAGGCCAGGGACGCCAGGAAGTCTCGCGCCGTCAGCAGTCCAGCAGCTGGCCGCAGAGTGAACCCCGTCCGTCCTGCGGGAGGGGGTGAAGCTCAGTCACCTGACACGCACACAAATGACAACGGAAAGAATTCTATCACAAATATAGATGACAGGGGGATGAACCAACTGACAGTAAAACATAATAAAAGACAATGATATTTCCATATTTTATCCTTCCTGCCCCATGCCCGTCTTTTCTTTTCTTTATCCTCCTCGTGCTCTGTGTCCCTACTTGAAGACGTCCTTGATCTTCCTATTTATGTTTCATGTTAAGTAGAGACGTCCTCGACTCTTTTAGTCACAATTCATGCAGATGGAGACGTCTTTAACCCTCTTACTCATGTTTTTTATATGACCTAAAGACGTTCTCGATACACATACTCACGTTTCATGAATTTGGAGACGTCTTCGAGTTGAGGAATTTGGTCTGGTGTGTACCCACAGTCCCTCTTGAGGATCTCCCACACTTCGCGGTACTGGCGACAGGCATGGGTTGGGATGAGACGCTCCAGTTCTTTAAATACCGCTCCCCACGTATCTATCTCCTCCTGCTGGTACGCCACCCTCGGAATGGGATCACCACTGGTAGAGGAGAAAGCAACACATATGATCTGTGGTGAAGGTATATGGCTCACTAATTATAAGTAAAATTCAATTGCTATATAAAAATAAAGGCCAGCACTCACTACTTGCACGAAAGGTGACTCACTATCTGTAGGTGAAGGCAATGTCAGCTATCTCCTTCCTCCGGGCGCGGTATTCCTTGTCAGCGAAGCCCGGATGGTCCATGTCCAGGTCAGGCTCGAACTTCGTCATTAGGTGGTTACACATGTCCAACTCACTGATGTGTTTGGGGAACCATGCCTCTGTAGGTGGTGTTAGGGGGTATTTGCGAGGGTTAGAACAGGTGTTGAAGGTTAGTGGGGAGAGTTAGGAAGCTACTATTGTGTAACAGTAGAGGCAGCAGTTCATTAAAGATTTTAAGGAAATACCTGGCATTACCACTAACAGTAAAAGTTCAGCTCAAGTGTTTGTATTACATTCACTTGGAAGACGTAAGTTTGTGTTATTTAGATCGTGTTGTGTTTTAATTTCTGCTATGACTGGTGCAACAGCCAGAGATTACTGTGACAGAATTTTCTCTGGTACTGTATTTTTATTCAAAGAACACAAGATGAAGCGCAGGAGAGACATACAGTCTAATTGTGCTGATGTCACCTGTATCTTTATAAAATAAGTGTGATAAATTAGCAGACAATAAGGACAAGGTCTCCAGGTGTGGTCACTGTTCACCTTTGATAGAGGAGTGATGTTCGGACAGAAGGTTGACGGAGGCGATGGCCGAGCCTTGACGGAGGCTCTTGAGGAGGTTCAGAAGGGGCTCCCTCAGGATGTCGATCTTGATGAGAACGTCGAAGGCGACGCCCTTGCGAGGGGCAGGGCGTGTCTCAACGTGGGCCACATGACCCTTGAAGTTCTGCCGGAGGGACCAGGAGGTGAGGGTGTATGCCAGGTGATGGGAGGCCAAGTATACACAGCCATACACAGTGATAAACATGTTTATTCTACAAGTGGGGCGATAATACACACAGGCTAATGACAAGACACGTACAGACATCTTGACGAAGGGACACAAACAGATAAACAAAAACACACACACACACATACACACAAGTATTACAACGATATTTGGGTGATTCCTGACCTCATCACATCATGTTTTGAGGTTTTAAAGGTTTACAACAAAAACGTTCGTGTGTTCTATGTCTCATATCAGTGTGGTATGATGTCATATTACAGAGAGAGAGAGAGAGAGAGAGAGAGAGAGAGAGAGAGAGAGAGAGAGAGAGAGATATTTCTTCCCTTTACCCACTTCCCCCTAACACGTTTTTTCACAGTAAAAATCATGCGAAAAATTATTCCCTCTTCTTTTTTTCCATTTTTTATTTTATTTGTTTCAGGTAAGACTAATGTTGAAAATGTTCCTGCCTTCAAAACATTTCCCTTAAGCTGGTTCTCTGTCAGGTAAGGTGCCACTAAATGTTTCCCCTCTCGAATCACGTGACAAATGTTCCTCCTTTTCCCTCTTTCCCCTCTGACGTTTTCTAATGGTGCTTTTAAGGTCAAACGTTTTTCCTTTTACACATTCTTTCCTCAAAACGTTTACTGGAGTAACTTTTTTTTCAGTTAAGATTCAGGGAATAAAACGTTGTTCCTCCTACATAATTTCCCCCATGTGAACGTTTTCTACGGTAATATAAATTTTAGATGAGGTTTAAAACATTCTTTCTCTCACTAGACTCACATAAAACGTTCGTTCCTTCACCAGACTCACATATAACGTTCTTCTCCTCACCAGACTCACATAAAACGTTCTTCTCTAAACAAAACTCACATAAACCGTCCCTCCCCTTCACCAAACTCACATAAAACGTTCTCCCCCTCACCATACTCACATAAAACGTTCCCTTCCTATCAATGTCACCCTTTTAAACGTTCTCTACTGTACGTTTTTCATTCAGTTATGACCCTCCCTTCCCCCTCCCGGCCCTCCGCTATTAAACGTTTTCTGAGCTAAGTTACTCCTGGTAGGGTTTCTGTCGCTACAATGTACTATAGAGTCGGGTTTAAGAGTTGCTACCCAACCTCTACATCTCTTTGTTTACGTCTTATGGTCTGTTTACGTCTTATGGTCTTTTTGTTTACGTCTTATGGTCTTTTTGTTTACGTCTTATGGTCTTTTTGTTTACGTCTTTTGGTCTTTTTGTTTACGTCTTATGGTGTCTTGTTTACGTTTTATGGTCGCTTTGTTTACATTTTATAGTCTTTGTTTATGTGTTATGGTTCCTTCGTTTACGTCTTGTGGTCTGTTTGTTTACGTCTTGTGGTACTTTCGTTTACGTCTTACGGTAACGTCTCTTCCGCCCTCCATCTTTTCACGTTTTTTTTTTCTCTCTACATTGAAGTCTATCGAGAGTTCCTTCTTTCCTTCTCTATCTCTCACACTCTTCTTCCTTCTCTATCTCTCACACTCTTCTTCCTTCTCTATCTCTCACACTCTTCTTCCTTCTCTATCTCTCACACTCTTCTTCCTTCTCTATCTCTCACACTCTTTACTCTTCTCTCCTTCATCTTCCTTTCTCCTTGCAATACGGTGATGATTTTTCAGAGGCTCACCACTTCCTTAATTAATCTCCTTCTACAGCTTATTCCTTCCTTCTTTCTCATTTATCCCCTCACCTTTCGTATCTTTTTTTTCTCTTATTCCTCACCCTCTTTATCTCCCTTCTTCATTACTCTTCTTTTGTTACTTCTTTATTCCTTGTTTATTTCTTTCCATCATTCCTTTCCTTCTATAACTTCTTCCTTCCTCTTTCATTCCACTCCTTTTGTAAGTTCTTTCTCCATTCCTGATCTCCTTTATTTTCCTCCTCTATTCCTCTCCTTTTATACTTCCTCCTTCATTCCTCTCCCTTTATACCTCTCATCTTTCTTCCTCACCATCTTTACCCCCTTACATTAAACCCATTCTCCCTCTTCTTCTTCCTCCTTACCTCTATGGTCTTGATGATCCGAGGGAGGGAGGTGATGCCATCGACGAGAGCCACAACGAGAGCTACCTGCTGGGGGACATCGGGCTCACAAGGACTCTGCACCAGAAACACCTCCTCCTCGCTCAGCTCCCCATCTGTAGCGATAAGAAGACCTCGTTACTATAATATATACCCCCCACCACCACCACCACCACCTGTAGTCTATGTCATCCCTTCTTCGTGTAGGTCTTTTGATTTGGGTAAAATTAGTCACATAATTCGTCAAATAATTACAAACTCGAAGGTATAATTTAGAAAGGATGGGAGTACAATATCAATTAATGTTACAGAACTACGATAATTTTAGGTACCACACCGTTATTAAACTATGATAATTTTAGGAACTACGTTATAAAACTAAGGTAATTTTAGGTGAAGTTAGGTTAGGTTAGGTTAGGTTAGTAAGGAGGAATAACCCAAGTCAATGTAATGTGTCTATCCACTATCCACACCTATCCGCGAAGAGTGAGAAAGTAGAGGACAGTCAACCTCTCTCTCTCTCTCTCTCTCTCTCTCTCTCTCTCTCTCTCTCTCTCTCTCTCTATCCACCTATTCAAATATCAATAAAATATTCCCCCTGTTATTGTTATTTTCTATCATCTATCCATCATGAGACACCATCTATCCTTTCTATTATTTACAATATACTTGCAATCTAGATCAAACATTATTATGACTCCCCAACATTATCTATCGTCTATCCATCGTAACTTACAGGCAGGATAGTCACTAATCCTCTTCTATCCACTGACAGTATCCCTACCACCCTAGTCCTTATGCCTCTTCTATCCACTTACAATATCCCTGCCACCTTTATAAACATCAATTAAACTATCCCTACGTCCCCTAGCTATCGTCTATCCATCGTAACTTACCGCAGGATAGTCGCTGGGCTTCCTCTATCCAAGACTGCTTTTGCTGTTTGTTGATGGTCGTCTCAAATCTGGCGTCGTCCACCAGGGAGCGACGCCTTGCTGGGTAGCCATTCTGTGAGTACAAGGGAAGTAAATGAGTACAAGGGAAGTAAATGAGTACAAGGGAAGTAAGTATGATGACAGAAAATGGGTACTATCCTTCAGACAGTTACTTTCCCTTAATCTACCCCCCAGAGAGAGACATTTCCCCCCTTTTTCCCTCCAAGAGTACGATAGTTCCTTCTCCCTCTCCTCCAACAGTGAGACATAACCCCCCCTCCCTCTCTCCTCCAACAGTGAGACATACCCCCCCTCCCTCTCTCTCTCTCTCTCCAACAGCAGACTAACCCCCTCCCTCTCTCCTCCTCCAACAGTGAGACATAACCCCTCCCTCCCTCTCTCCTCCAACAGCAGACATAACCCCCCCTCCCCCAGGACATCGATCTCGCTAATGGTCCACCGTTTAGTGTGTGGTGGTGAGTGACCGCCTAGAAAATACCCCTTGTTGTCTGCCTGAGTAACTTGACTTGTGTGTGTGTGTGTGTGTGTGTGTGTGTGTGTGTTCTTTATTTACTGTATTCTTGTAGGCTCCGACACAGACCTGGGACAGCCAATCATTAAACAGATCTGTCAAAGTAGGTGGCCAATCACCAGCCTGTGTTTATTTCACCGGGAATATAGTTAGCCAATTACTACACTGCCGTCAAACATCGTCCACCAATCATTTATCTTTAAATTTACTAATGACCAATTATCTTTTTCCATGAAGCTCCTTCGAAAATCAAGGGACGAATCACAATGCGTATTAGCTTCCTTCGTTCATACCATATAGCGAAGAAGCCAATCAGCTTCTTCCGTTCACACCCTCTCGCAAACAGCCAACCAATCCGCTTTCTCCGTTCACATCCTCTCGCGAACAACCAACCAATCCGCTTTCTCCGTTCACATCCTCTCGCGAACAACCAACCAATCAGCTTTCTCCGTTCACATCCTCTGAACAACCAACCAATCAGCTTTCTCCATTCACATCCTCTCACGAACAACCAACCATTCCTCCATTCACATCCTCTCACGAACCAACCAATCAGTATTCTCCATTCATACCCTCTCGCCAACAACCAACCAATCAGCTTTCTCCGTTCACACCCTCTCACGAACCAACCAATCAGCTTCCTCCATTCACACCCTCTCGCCAACAACCAACCAATCAGCTTCCTCCATTCACAAATAGGCAACTGAAGGCAAGATTCGAAAAACACAAACCTAAAATAACGTGATAAGGTTGATCAGTTCCGAGATAGCGAGTGTGACGTCACGCTGAAGGGTAATTAAGACCAATTCTCACGTTATTAGTCGTCGGTAATTAGATATTCATTAAGTAGTGATGGTTCGTTAGGCCAAGTGACGAACTGTTGTAAGTCTCGTGAGAGTTTTGGGGAGAGAGAGAGAGAGAGAGAGAGAGAGAGGTGCCTAAAGGTATGATCAACTACTGTATAGCTAAATGAGAGAGGGCCACACTACCTCCCAGGGTTTATCACCCCCCCACCCCCTCTCTACCTCCCTTCATTACTGGCTCTCCAATAATCCTGAAGGGACCAATCACCACGAAACGCTACCAGACCGGTAAGTGGAACACACATACACTTACCTTCACCCTTAATTTTCAATTTATAATAAAGAATAGGATCACCTGAAGAATCTCCATCCTAACCTAACATACAACCTAATCTAATCTAAACCTGGCCTTCAATCTAACCTAACCTAGCTCTAAAGCTATCCTGGTCTAACCCTATCCTAACCTGACGTTGTGGTAGCCTAACCGAACCCTAACCCAAGCCCAACCTAACCCAAGCCAACCTAACCTAACCTAACCTAGCAAACCTAACCCAAGCCCAACCCAACCTAACCCTATTGAAGCCTAACCCAAGCCAACCTAACCTAACCAAGCCTAGCAAACCCAACTGTAAAACCTAGCAAGCCTAACCTAACCAAACGTAACCCAAACCCAACCTAACCTAACCCTAGCAAACCTAGCAAGCCCAACCTAACTGCTCAAACCTAGCAACCCAACCTAACCTAACCAAACCTAACTTAAACCCAACCTAACCTAACCTACCCTAACCTAACCTAACCAAACCTAACTTAAACCCAACCCAACCTAACCTAACCAAACCTAACTTAAACCCAACCTAACCTAACCAAACCTAACTTAAACCCAACCTAACCTAACCAAATCTAACTTAAACCCAACCCAACCTAACCAAACCTAACTTAAACCCAACCGAACCCAATTTCACCTCAAGATTAACTCCCCCTCCCCCTTAACGGTAAGAGGGATATAAGAGACTCGACTTAAACCAGGAGGCATAAACAAGGACTCACACACTAATGTTTACTGAGAAAAGTAAACAGAGGGACTCGTTTACCACAGGACAGGACAACAATACCACCGTCTGAGGCTGTGTTGTTGTGGGTAGTGGAGACCTGGACGGCCACACAATGGACTAACAAACACTCGACTATTTCCATAATTAGTTGAGGTTGTCTTGATTCTTGTTTCAGTGTTGGGTAATGTTAGGGACGTCTTGGTTGATTTGTTGTTGTTTGTGTGTTTATTTGGAATACCTGAATAATAGACAACCTAATTGATTTCACCTGAAGATTATTATTATTAACCGCTCTAACGCTAACTTAACCTAACTTATCCTAACTTAACCAAACCTAACCTAAGAAAAGTTGATGAAACATTTGACCTTGTGTGTGTGTGTGTGTGTGTATGTGACAGTGTAAGGGTGAGAAACTAAGGATAGGTGGGGGGGGGGGTGTAGCTCCTGAGTGAACAATGTGCCCAGATAAATTTAATTTGTCGCCAAAGACGCCGTCAGGAGGAGATAAAAGGTCGATCAGGGATGAAAGAGGGAGGTTGGTGCCGCCAGAGGACCCGCAATGGAGCCTAATGCTGGATAATTGTTCCTCCCTCTTAAGTGCTGTGTGATTACCCCTCCTCCCGTGTGTGTGTGTGTGTGTGTGTGTGTGTGTGTGTGTGTGTGTGTGTGTGTGTGTGTGTGTGTGTGTGTGTGTGTGTGTGTGTGTGTGTGTGTGTGTGTGATAGTAGCCATTAAAATAAAATATAGTAATAAAACAAAACAAGAGACGTTATATAAAACAAAAAACTAACAAAAATTAAAATAAAACAATAATGACAACAAAAACAAAAGAAGTCTCAACAATAAAACAATAAAAAACAAAATAAATCTTACAAAATAACAATCGTTCATAAATAAGACTAAAAACCCTAATAATAAACAATAGTTATAATAAAAACAATAAAGTTTATAACAAAAGAAGTAGGAAGTCACGTTGAGGCCTCCTTGGCGTGTGATTTTGTTCAGAGGAAGGGGAGGGGAAAGAGTGGGAGGCTAACAAGGGAAGGGGGAGGCGGGGAGGGGAAGGTGGAGGCTAAGGAGGGAAGGGGAAAGTGGAGGCTAAGGAGGGGAGGGGAAGGATGAGGAGGAGAGGGGAAGGAAGGGCTGGGGAGAACGGGAGGGGAAGGAAGGGGAGTAGGTGGAGGGGGGAAGTGGGAAGGAGGGGGAGGTTAAGAAGGGAAGGGGAAGGTGGAGGGTAGGGGGTATCAGGTGCATCCCCCTCCCTCATCCCCCACCATCAGGTCATTAAGGCATCATTTAGGGGTTAAAGATGGTGGGGGGAGGAGGGAGGAGGAGGGAAAGGAAAAGACGAAAGAATTGCTCTCTTTCTCTCTCTCTTTTTCCATCTTATTCAGCCGGTTGGTCTGTCTCTTTTATATCTTTATCTCTTATTATCTTTTCTCTTTTCTGTCTGTCTTTCTGATTATCTTTTATTCTCCTCTTTCTTTTCCTTTCGTTGTATATTTTTCGAATCGTTTATGCAATTATCAAGTTGACGGAAACGATAAATAAATAAATTAAAAAATTATAATTTTTTTTTAATCTAACTCCACCTCATCATGTTCATTCCCCGCAATTCACCAGATTTTACAAAGCCAAAGTCGAAGGTCGGGTCACAGTCTCGAACACTCCCCGGGCGGAAGTGTTAGTGAAGCGTCGTCCCAATTGGCATCCGACCCTGACTTCAGCATATCCGCCTCGTTAGGGAGACAAGCCACGAACAGCCACGAACAGCCCCACACACACACACACACACACACACACACACACACACACACACACACACACACACACGGGCGCGCGAGTAAATACAGTAAGCATAGGTAAAGACGTCACCCTTAGGACATGACAGGGTAAGGGAGATAGGGTGAAGGGAAATAGGGTGAGGGATCAGTGTGAGGGAGGGTGAGGGTTGAGGATAAGGAAGGATGAGGGTAAGGGGGGATGAGAGGGTAAGGGAGGGTAAGAAAGGATGAGGGAGGGTAAGAAAGGATGAGGGAGGGTAAGGAAGGATGAGGGAGGGTAAGGAAGGATGAGGGGAGGGTAAGGAAGGATGAGGGAGGGTAAGGGAAGGAGGAGGGAGGGTAAGAGAGGATGAGGGAGGGTAAGGAAGGATGAGGGAGGGTTAGATGAGGAGGCTAAAGGAGGGGGTGAAGGAAGTGCAGATCGACCAGGTCAGGCATGTAGGATAACGACCCTCAGCCTCACCTCCTCACTGCTGCTCCCCTCCTCCCCTTCTCTCCTCAATCTTTACTCCTGTCACCACTCTCCTTCTACCACCCCACTCCCTCCTCCTCCCTCCCACCCACCTCCCTCCCACCCCAACTACTTGTCTCAATGTCCAATGTAATAATATCCTTAAAAAAAATTATGTTATCAAAATCTGCAAAAAAGTTAATACACACACACACACACACACACACACACACACACACACACACACACACACACACACACACACACACACACACACACACACACACACACACACACACACACCTGATAAACATAATCACACAAGATGAACCGAATCCATCGATCGTCAGCACAATACTTCCTGGATGATACACGATACACTCTCACTGGGCACATGGCAGATGTACGACAAACCCCAGCAAGATCCATTAATCCTCACGATACCTTCCAA